GTGATGATGATGATGGTGATGATGAGTTTGATGGTGATACTGATGACGATGATGCTCATGCGGCTCATGATGAATCTGTTGATGATGCTGATTGTGATGTTGATGATGGCGATGATGAAAATGCTTATGATGCTGATGATGCCGACGGGGATGATGATGACGATGACGATGATCATGGTGTCGGCGTTGATGCTGATGCGGATGATGATGCTCATGATGATGATGGTTGTGATGCTGATGATGATGATGATGATGATGATGATGATGATGATGATGATGATGAGGGGGAGGAGGTCGGGAGAAAGGATCATGACGAGGATGAGGATGTGCATGCTGATGTTCATTGTGGCAATGATGATGACGATGCTGATGCTGATGCTGATGGCCATGATGATACTGACGATGACGATGGTGATGAAGATGATGATGGTGATGATGATGATGATGATCTTGGAGACGATGGTGATCATGATGACTCTGATGGTACTGCTGCTGATGGTGATGATGATGTTGGTGAAGATGATGGTGATGATGGGGATGCTGATGATGCTGATGATGATGTCAATGCTGATGAGGCTGATGATACTGGGGATCATGACCATGGTGATGATGATGATGATGATGATGATGATGATGATGAAGATGATGATGTTGGCGACGGTGATGATGATAATGGCAATGATGATGGTGGCGACGATAATGCTGATGATGTCGACGATACTGATGCTGCTGATGGTGATATTGATGATGTTGATACTGATGCTGTTGATGATGGTGACGATGGCGATGATGCTGATGACGTGAATGATGCTTCCGATGATGATGATGATGATGATGATGATGATGATGATGATGATGATGTTGATGCTGATGATGGTGACGGTGATGATGACGATGGGGATGCTGCTGATGATGGTGATGGCGATGCCGATTATGTCGATGATGTTGATGCTGTTGAAGATGTTGATGATGACGGTGATGATGTTGGTGATGATAATAGTGATGCTGATAACGATGATGATGATGGTGGGGGTGATGGTGATGATGGGGGAGGATGACAAGTGCAGACTCAAGATGCATCAGCGTTGTTGCAGTAATCCCTGTCGCCAAGCTCTCTCTATACAGGCCCCTACGAGAATGTCTTGTCGTTGCGGGCCCGTTGGGGGATAAATGTTTGAGAATCCCCAATCGTGCCAAATCTTCATTCCCAGGACTTCAACAACGCGGTTTAATGTGACCGTTGCGCCTCCACAATCCTGAATCGTGCGACGAAGCCGTTTTCTGGGATTTCGACACCGCGAATCCACGTGATTCTGTCGTCCGGACAGTCCCCACTGGTGCCAGAACGCCATGCTTGAGATTCCAACCGTACGAACCTTTGAAACGGCTGCACACTTTTAAACGAATTTGCAGGACGTTAGGGCGATAGCCGCATTCTGGAAAAGAGCCGCCCTCCCTCCGTCTATGAAGGTGCTGCAATTTTGTAAGACGAGTGTGCGCGGCGCTACGGCGAGAGCCACTGCTTGAAAAGGACCCGCTTTCCATGCGTGAAGCTGCTGCACACTTTGAGGACGAATGCGCGCGGCGCTGGGGCAAGAACCGCATTTTGGAAGCGACACGCCCTCCGCCCGTGAAGCTGTTACAGAATTCGAGCTTCAGGATCACACGCGGTAGGGGAACTCTCAGGCGAAACACTCTGCCCGCTGGCCCGCCCTACTGACACGTCTGGGGGTGCGACAGGGAGTATTTTTTTAAAAGGGGAGGAGGAGGAGGAGGAGGAGGCGGAGGAGGAGGCGGAGGAGGAGGCGGAGGGGGAGGAGCAGGAGGGGGAGGAGCAGGAGGAGGAGGAGGAGGAGGAGGAGGAGGAGGAGGAGGAGGAGGAGGAGGAAGGAAATACGAAAGGACGGAGGCGGAGTTTAGCCTATCATACTTCAACGTGCCGCCTTTTCGTGGACACAGGCACGAGCATGCACATGGCATGCGTTTCGAGGGAACGGGTGGGTCCTGGGCGCCTTCATTGCAGCCTCGGGAATATTTCTTGTAACGCGACACCGTTGTCCCGAGAGCACTCGCAAAACAAACTCGTGCTGTTGCGCCCTGGCCATATACATGCTCTTGCGCCCCAGCCGCATACATCATGTGGCGGCACAACTACATGAATCTGTCGTTTTTGGAGAACCCGTGGGGAGGCCACAAACCTGGGGGCCGCGCGTGAGCTTGAACAACACATGTTTCGATGGCAGGTGCAACTCAAAACCGTTTAGTTTTGGACAGTTCCCCCCGCCCCCATTCAGTTCTAATTATATGAAGGACCCCTTACGCGGGGGACCCGTTTGGTGATGCACTCCTTCAGTTCAATTTTCAGGTTCGTGGATGGAGCCTGGTTTGGGGCAATTCGCATGAGGCGTTCTCAGAGTTTGCTTGGCTTGGCCCCTGGTTTTGCCTGGCTTGGCCTGCTTTGGTCTGCTTTCGCCAGGCGCCCAGCATGAGACATCCTCATTTTTTTGTGGTTGGCCTGGTCTGGGGCCTGTTTCGCCTAGGAGGGCCTCACAATTTGCTCGGTTTCGCCTGAGACGTTCTCGCAATTTGCCTGGTTTGGTGAGGTTTCGGCGCAGTTTCGCTTGAGACGTCCTCGCAATTGGCTTGGCTTCGTTCGGTTCTGGTGCGGTTTTGCTTGAGGCGTGCGTGCATTTTTTTAGATGCGGTTTCGCCTGAGATGCCCCACGATTTGCAAGGTTCGGCTGGTGTGTCGCTTGGGAAGTCCACGCGCGTTGTTTTATTTGTCATGAGTTGGGGTGGGATTTGCTTACAGCGTCCTCCAGTCATGCGATGCACGCTCTGTTGTGTAAACCCACATCGCCGCAAGCTATGCGGGGTACGGTATGTGGGGTGCAAAGTATGTGGTGGGCAAGATACGTGCTGCAGACCCACACTGTCGCGAGCTATGTGGTGCAAGCTATGTGGTGCAAAGTATGTGGTGGAAGCTATGTGATGTAAGCTATGTAGTACAAACCCACATTAACGCAAGCTATACGGTAAAATCGATGTCTTTCAAAATAGATGGCGGAAATCTACTTGGCGCAGCCCCCCTCTTCTCGCGGCGTTGGCCTGGTGTCCGGCGTTCGGAGAAAACTCTCCCGAGCTTGTGGGACTTGTACAGGGTTTCTCGCTCGCATCGTCACCCACGTTATCGGTCGTCTGTGGGCCACTCACATCCGCTCGTCCTCATCATCGGCAGGATATTCCAGTTGCAGCATGTTCACCGTCGGACAGGGGGGCCTCTGCTCGCAAGAATCTGTCGCATGCCGTCGATGCGAGGGCGGCTTCGGGGCGCATGCTTGTGGCTGTATCATTCTCCTCTCTCTGCTTTTGGTTGCCCTGGGGCTCTGGAGAGGCGGGGGTCCCAGGAGGTGGGCCACTGGACCCAGCCAAGGTGCCCGTGGGGGCAGCGAGTGAGCCTGGTGGGGGGCGGGGCCTGGTCCCCGCCCGTTGACAGTCCGTCGCGTACGTGAGGCCCAGCGCCTGCGGCGATGTCTCACTGCCCCGTCTGGTTCCGCTGCCGCGCGTGCCCGCCATGGGGAGGGGGGCGGGCGCACGTTGAGCTTGATGCCTACTGGGCAGCCCCTGGGAGGTCAAACCTCAGCATCGGTGCTGGGATACCTGTGGTTGAAAACCAGTCTCATCGGGCGTAGTCCCGCTCGGTCCCGCTCAATCGGGCTTGACCCTGGGCTGAATCCGGCCTGATCCGACTTAGTGGCCTGGCGGCAGTGTGTGCGAGCCAGGTCGGAAGCTCTAGTCTTTAAAATCTAGCAACCCCAACTTGTCGGGTGGGCAAGGTCAGCGTCAGCGGTGGGCTTGGCTTCTCTTTCTCCTGTGCGCAAGTGGGGGGCCCGATTGGCTGGAGGGGGCGTTGGCCCAGGGTGGGATTCGGGCATGAAACCGGCGGGAGACGAGACTCACATTTGCTTCTTCCAGGCGCCGTCCAAAGCGATTCTCCGATAGCCCGCCCCCTGGCCCTACGCCACCTTCAGCGGCACCCCGCAGATGGCGGGAGCCGAGGGCCAGTTGGGGTGCTCTGAGGGGCCCGGTGGTGAGGCCTGGCGGGTTTGTGGGGGCCCGCGCCCTCCCCGAAATGTCGCCGCGTGTGTGGGTAGTGCGGCGCCTGTTGCGGGACTACTTTGTACTTCGCCCGCCGGAGCTGCGAGGTCTGGTCTCAAACCGTGATGCGGCGCATCGAGGAGGTGCAGCATTACCTTCGCTCGTCGGAGCTGTGGGGCCCGCTCGGATCCTGCTGCGGAAGTACCCTCGCTCGTCGGAGGTGCATCAAGCTGGTGCGCTTGCGGCGTGCTTCCTTTTCCTCAGGGCAGGGCCAGAGGTTTGCACATTTACATCGTAGGGTCTCGGCAAGAGGCCAAGGTTTGATCGCTAGAAGGCCCAGGGTCGTGAGGCCGCCCGCTCTGTCTTCTCCGTCCTGCCAGTGCCGGTCACTCATCGAAGTGTGTCTTAGACTCGTGAATCCTAGGTCTCTCGGCAGGTTGGCGAGGCAGCTCGTTGAGCATAGCCTGGTGAGCAGCTGACACGCGTCGGGGGCCGTGCACGGAATCCGTATTACATAGGCCTCACGGCTGGTTCCAGTGGCCCTCAGGAGCGATCAGCTTAGGCGCCAGAGGAGGAAGGGGGACGGGTGCAAGAGGCAGTGGCGGCTTCGATGCGAGGGCGAGAATCTGATTGTCCTCGGCCCATCCCGCCACTGCGCCTGGGTCATGTTCCAGAGGCCTCATGGACATTTCGGGGGATCTTGAGGGGCTTCTTGGGGGGCGATTCGAGAGGGGCGGTGCTGCTGCCTCCAACTGGACAGATCGGCGCATGTGGCGGGGGTCTGTATTTGAAGTTTGCGTACCCGCGGGGGTTCGTCACACTCATCTGCGTCGGTGGCGGCTTTGGGCAGCTTGTCCTCGCAGCCATCAGGTTTGCCAGCGATTTCATCAGCCTGCTTCCGTAGTGGATTTGGCTCAGGCCAGGCGCGGGCCCCGTCGCCTCCTTCAAGGACTGCGGATCGGGGCCGGTGCCATGCTAGGGCCCTCGAAAGAGTCCCCGTTCTATCGGGACGAGGCCCGGCCTTTCCCCCAACGGAGTGATGTAATGTCTCTGGACATCGTGCGGCCTAGAGACGTGCCCAAGGGCAAGACGCTTTACGTAAAAGCAGAGGACAACTCGCTCAAGACGGATGACGTGCACAAAGCGAGGCCGTACTACGAGCACCTCAACCACCTGAACAAACCTGACCTTGCCGTCGGCAACACGGACCCTGAACACCCGGGCGGTAAGGCTTCTACTTACTACCCGACCATGGACCGGCGGCCGCGTGACTTGAGCCTCACAACCGCCGACATCGAGTACGCGCAGCCAAAGGCCGTCAAGCGCCGTGGCAATCGCCACACCGACCCAGTCTGCCCAGACTACGAGCTCCCGACGAGCTACCAGCGGCCGCACACACCGCCGCGCTTTCTCGGGCGGCACACCAATGACATCACAGACATAGAGCATAGTTGTCCCAAGGTGCGACACCCCGAGAGGGACTACACTCGCAACCTCAACGACGCCAGCGACATCGAGTTCGCCTCAGCCAACTACAGGGAGCGCCTCAATCGGACAACCGCGCGGCCGCGCCAGGACCGGCAGCTGGACGTCAAGGACATCACGGAGCACAAGTGCATTCGGCCCCGCAACACGAACCCGCTGGACCCCGTCTACAGGCCGGGCGTGCCAACTGTACCGTTCGTCAGCAGGCAGGTCACGGGGTTCAGCGTAAACGGGGCCCAACCAGAGCGAAGGTTCCTGCATGATCCTGCACAGCCGGATTTTGGCTGAGCTGGGTTTGGGAACAGCTCGCGGGCCCCCAAGGTCGCCATTCATATCGGTTGAGTCAGGTGTGGGAAGCCAACCCCAAAATTGCAGTGCAGTTTTTTGTAAATTGGTTGGACCAGGTTTGCGCTGAGCCGAGTCAGTCCACGCCCGATTGCCTACCCCGGATCAGAGGACTGAGCCAGGGACGGGAGATCTTGGGCAAAAGGGCGGGCGGGCCCAGAGATGACACCTGGCTAGCATCAGGTCGACCCCCCCGAGCGAGAGGTCGGACCTACCGACCACCCCGCGAAGCTCTCTTGTCGCGTCAGTTATCTTACACTGCTTCACCCGCTGCTGCATGCAGGAGGACTCAGGATGGAGGATGAGGAGGAAAGATGATGAGGAGGGGGAAGTAGGAGGAGAGGAGGAGGAGGAGGAGGAGGAGGAGGAGGAGGAGGAGGAGGAGGAGGAGGAGGAGGAGGAGGAGGAGGAGGAGGAGGAGGAGGAGGAGGAGGAGACGAGGAGCAAGATGATGTCATCCTCCCACCAGGGTGCCGTCCAACATGACGACGTCGCTGCACACCAGCTACGCCGAGGAGCAGGGCATGGAGGCGCCCTACCCGCTGCCAGAGGACATCGGGCCAGTGCACATGTCCAAGCCGCGCAAGCTGCAGTGGGACAATGGCGAACCCCAGCTGAGCCTCGTCCGCGAGGACATCGCGGGTGCGGTGCCCCAGCGCTTCGTCGGGAGCATCCCCGCCAACATCTACGACCCGCCGGAGGTGAGGCCGATGCTCTCCTTCCACGACCCCCACGACATCCCGGGGGCCCAGGTGGGGTCCCTCCCGCGCGGCATCACGACGTACCGGGTCAGCAACCCGCTGAACCCGAGGTACCAGATGCTCGACGGCGAGGTCCAGGGCAGGCCCCAGCCCGTGCCCACCACCACCCTCGACGCAGAGCGGGGCCCGCCGCGCGGCATCCACCCGATGCTGCGGAGCCAGGGCCACGGAGCCTCGGCCAGCGCGCCCGGGCTGCACGGCACCAGGACCCCGGGCGCGGGGTCGTCCAGGGCTGGGAGCTCCTACGGCCGGCCCCCCTCGGAGGGCACGCTGCGTCGGGCGGCCATGGCCGCAGTGAACCAGTAGGCCACCTCTCTCTGCGAGCCGGTGGGCGGGGAGGAGTCGCCCAGGAGGGAGGGGGAAGAGGGCAGGGGGCCGGCGGGGGTGGGGAAGTCGAGGAGACGCAGACGTGCAGCAAGGAGCAGGGCGGCGAGTGGATCGGCGACGGGTCCCGCTTCCATGCGTCATCGGCGCGCTCCGTGGCCCGAGGCACGCGGCACGGGCCTGAGGTTACGGGGGTGCTTCCCCCGAAGCCACGTGAGCGTGTGCCCGAGAGAGATGGGCGGGGGCAGCGCTCGGAAGCCCGCTCCTGGTCGCCGTGTTGTTGCGTGGCGTCGTCGGCAGGGCGGGAGTGCCGTGAGCAGGGCAGAGTCAGGGCCTCACGGCCGTCATCGGGGCAAAGGTGCCATGAGCACGCCGCAGGTGAGACCCGATACCTGGGAGTATGCGAGCGTGCGCCTCTGAGGCGAGATGGTGAGGGACCAGGGGGGGATTGGCCAGGGGGAAGGGGCTTCTGGGGCGACCATGCTGGGAAAGGGCTCCCGAGGCTCCTTGCCTTTCTTCAGTGAACGTCCTGGGAGCGCTCTCCTATCGCCGCCGCGCCCTCGCCGCCCTCGTCGCCTCATGCCTGTGGCCAGCTCTACGGCGACGACGCGGTTCCTGCCCGCGGCCGGCCTGCCATTTGTGCCCGGCCAGCCTGTGGTGGGCAGCGGGGCGCGCCCCTGGCCCCGCGCCGACGCCGCCGGCTCTGGCTCCCGCAGCCGCCAGCAAGGCCGCAGCGGCAGGCCTCTCAGCAGCATGCCACCGCTGCCCCCCCGGGAGGCCGACTGCGCCCTCCCACCACGAATCCACGGGCCCTCCTGTGCCCAGCGCGATGCAGTGCGGCCTTGCAGCCTCGTTCGCATCGAGTGGAAATCATGGGTAAGCAAGCGCTGCCAGCGGCCCGGCGGCGGCGCCACGCTCGCCCCTGCCGACTTCTTTGCCGAGATTCTCGGGCGGTTTGCTGATACCATTCCTTTTGACGTCCTCAGTGAAGCACGCTCTCCAACCCCATCCCGTGCCAGCTCCCCTGGTCTGGACCGTGGGGCTGCTTCTTTCCGCAAGCGACCCGCTTCTCGCTTCTCCAGAGGCTGGGGGCGTCGGCTCGGGCAGTAGTTACGCCTTGCGCCTCGCCGCCCTCCCGTCGCATGGGCTTCTGCCCTGAATTTTGTCCTCGTGCTCTGCGCTTCTCCTTGGGTGTGCTCTTTGGCGCGGCACTGTCTTTGCTCAACGGTTGCTCAGCCATCTCACGGTTTTGACACCAAGCTCGCCGACTGGGCAGGTCCTTCGGTCTTCGTGCACCCTCCCTGCTATCCACGCCCGGATGCGCTGATGCAGTCCTTTTTCTCTCATGCTGCCGATCGGGCAATGCCCACCGTATGGCGTGTCACCTCCCCGCCATCCACGCCCGGATGGCTGACGTCGGTAGGTGTTACATCCTGAGTGATGCTTGAGGGCCCAGAGGCCGCTTGCACTGTGTTTCGACGTACTCCGCCTCGTCGCCGCGCGCGAGGCCGCTACCGCCAAAAAAGTCAGTCAGTGTGTGTATACATATATATATATATATATATATATATATATATAGATATGTGTTTATTTTTGTTGTGTGTGTGTGTGTGCCCCTACCTGGCTGCTACGCTGGTGCGGATTTCGCTGCCTCGCCGCTTACGAAAAACAGTGTGTGGCCGCGCCGCTCATCCTCCTGCCGCAGTTCCTGCAGAGGCTCACCGACGTCGGATGGGCCCTGCGGCGCCCCCACGGCGCCGCGGACCCTCCAAATCTCCCCCCTACAAGCGCGCCAGGAGCACGCGGAGGAGGAGGAGGAGGAGGAGTAGGAGGAGGAGGAGGAGGAGGAGGAGGAGGAGGAGGAGGCGGAGGAGGCGGAGGAGGCGGAGGAGGCGGAGGAGGCGGAGGAGGAGGAGGAGGAGGAGGAGGAGGAGGAGGAGGAGGAGGAGGAGGAGGAGGAGGAGGAGGAGGAGGAGGAGCAGGTCCAGCCGCTCTGGGGGCAGATCCATCCGCTCCAGGCGCAAGTCTCGCCGCCCTAGCAGCCAACCCAGCGCCAGAAGCGGGCGGGTGGTCAGGCCTCGCTCCGTCCCGCGGCGCCGCAGGCGCCCCGCCAGCCGCCGCCCCCCTTCCCCTTGGCCCAGCCGCGCGTCCTCCCCCCAGCCATGCCCGCGGGCCCGCTGGCGACGCCGCCCCGGACGCCGCGTCAGCGGGCACTGTTGCCGGCACGCCCTCCGCCCTCCTGCCGTGGACGTGGGGCCCTTCGGCAGGCTCTTCCAGACGCCCATCGGCGAACTCCCTCGGAACGACCTGTTGCTGGTGTTCCACGGCTGGGTACAGGTAGGTAGGGTTTCACCAGGCTCGGTTCTGACGCGCATGTCTGGAGCGGTCCCAGATCGCCCAGGCCGACCCCGCGAAGTACACAGACGAAGTACTTTCGGCGCTTCCTCGGCCGCGCCCGCGGGCACAAGGCGCGACTGGGCGCTAACCAACCTGCGACCCACGTGCCTGCCTCTGGACAACCCCGCAGGCACGCCACAGCACAAGCCTACCCCCCCTCCGACCTCCTCGCACGCGTCCACAACGTTCGACAGGCTCTCGAGAAGCTGGATATGTGGCGCGATTTCTTCGTCCACGCTGCCCCTCCCGCCAAGCCTCTTTTCCACTCAGACCCACGGCTACTCGAGCCCAGGTACTTCTCCAGCTTGTGCGCCGCGTGGGGCAACGATAACCTAGGCGAATGGCGGCTCTTGGACAACGACCAAAAGTGAGATCTCGCCAACCGTCTCACTAGAGGGCGCGGCTCAGCGCGCGCGCGCGCCCATGTGGGGAGCGGTCCACCCAGAGAACGACGCCGCCTCCCCTGGCCGCGTGGGTGCGGCGGTGGGCAGCCCCGCCGCACCATGGCACGCTCCGCCTGAGAGACCGTCCTGGCACGGCGGCGTGCCGCTGGGCCCGCCAGCCGGCACAAGGGCGCCGATCCCACACGCGAGCTGGCGGGGCCCAGGGGCGCTCCCAGCCGCCCCGTGCTCGCCACCTCGCTCCCGCTCTGGGGGGCGGGCCGGCGGCCACGGCGAGGCCCGCCTCCGCCTGCCCTCCTCGGAGTGGCTGCCGACGCTCCACTCGGGCCCCACGGCCGACGGCGCCCCTGTCGCCACCCACGCCCACCACGGCAGGCCCTCCGAGCCGGGGCGCCGCTGCCACCGCTCATCGCCGCCCCCGCCGCCTCCGCCGCCACCTGCCGACGGGTGCCTCTACGGCCCCGCCTCCGACGGTCCCTGCGGTCCCCGAGCCATCGGTGCCTGGCCGTCGGCCGGCAGCGGCGCGGCGCCCGCCAGTGCCCAGTCGGCTCCCAGCTCCGCGCCGCCACCCCCCTCGCAGCCCCGCGGCACCGCCAGCCAGGCCGCTGGGTCAGCCTCTGGCTCCATGCCGCCGCCCCCCCGCCCGAGGCTGCAAGACACGCCTCGCAGCGCCGCCGCCCCAGGTCCCTCCGCGCCCTGCGAGGCCCAGCGCACCGTGGCTGCCCAGATCGCCTCGTGGATCGACGGGCACTTCGACGGCGCCGACTTCAGTCGCGTGCAGTGGCGCCTCTGTTTGGCCTGCAACTGCGACCACTCCGTCCTCGCCGCCCCGTGACTTCCCGGTCGAGCTGCTCGGTCAGTGTGTGCAGGCCGCACCCTCTCTGGCCCCCGCTGGTGGCAGGTCCACAGGCCCCGCAGAGAGTGCGCGGCTCCCCGCAAGCGGTCCGCCTCGCGCCCCATCGCCGCGCGGAGCCCGCGGGCGCGGCGCTAGGCTCCAGCGCCGGCGCTTCCTTTTGCTCTCCCCGCTCTGCCCTCGTCGCTGCCTCTTCCCGGTCTCGCACTTTTTTCCATCGGCCACGCGCCGCCCTCCTCCTTTGGGCCCCTTGGCTCCTGACTGCGCCTCGCTTGTTCGCACGGTCGCTTCGCTCTCGAGCCCTTTGCTCCGCGCATGTCTCGCCTCCGCATTTTGCAGTGGCGCGGCGCGTCCCATCTCTGCCATCCCCGCCAGGATGTGCCCACGGCACACCTCCACATCTCACGCTGCCGCGTCGGGCAGGGCCTTCGGTTGGCGAGTCACCTCGCTGCCGTCCACGCCCAGATGAGCTGTATGGCGTACCTTTTTTTCTGCTCTTGGCGCCGCGTCTGGCAGGGCCCTCGGGTGGCGTGCCATCTCACTGCCATCCACGCCCGGATGTGTTGTATGGCGGTAGGCACTGCGGAATCCAAAGCCTTTTTATGAGGGCCGCTTCCCTGCGCTGAGTGCTTCTACTGATTCTGCCTCGTCGCTGCGCGCGATGCCGCTTCCGTCAAAAGTGTTTGTGTTATATATATATATATATATATATATATATATATATATGTGTGTGTGGGTGTTGTGTGTGTGTGTTGTGTGTGTGTGTGTGTGTGTGTGTGTGTTGTTGTTGTTGTTGTTGTTGTTGTTGTTGTTGTTGTTGTTGTTGTTGTTGTTGTTGTTGCTGTTGTGGTTGTTGGTGTTGTTGCTGTTGCTGTTGCTGTTGCTGTTGTTGTTGTTGCTGCTGTTGTTGTTGCTGTTGTTGTTGAACATTATTCCTTCTAAAGAATTATTATTGTTGGGACCCCTGGTGCGCGACCTCTGCGCCGCGCCTAGGCCGCAGCTACATTTTCATCATTTTTTCGCGAAAGCTTCAGAAAAGTGGATGAGCTCCGGATCCGGTTTTTTGTTGACGCTCGTTTTCCCTTGCAAAAAACAATAGAAAATGAAAATTCTTGTTTTTACTTGATCAAATTGCAAGAATCCCTTGCAAAAAATAAGGTAAAGTGGACATTCGTGCGCGCAAGACGAAATCCTTCCAAAACCTTAGGTTTCGTAGCGATTTTAACATAAAAACATCAAAAACCCAATGGTTTTCTCAGAAAAAATTGTCAAAATGTCCTTCCGCGCGCTCTTGCGGATTCCTAGGAAACCCACCAGATTTTAAACATTTCTGTTAAAAGGGCCTTTGCGAGGAACCTTTTCAGGTGCTTCGACCTTCTGCAACAACGGTTGCGAGCCTACGAGGGCCACCATCCCTTGCAAAAAATGACACGAAGTGCACATGCGCGCGGCCGCCGCGCGCGCGTGCCGAAATCCTGCCAAACATAATGTGATTTCAATAATTTCAAGATGCGATGTTCCGAAAACATATGCAAACGCAAGACTTTCTCATCCGAAAAATATCAAAATCCACCCGCGGGCTCTTCATGAATCTTTAAAACCCAAGATGGCCCCAAGAGGCGCTCAAGATGGCCCCAAGAGGCGCCCATGAGGCCGCAAGAGGCGCCCAAGATGGTCCCAAGAGGCCCCAAGAGGACTCCAAGAGGCCCCCAAGAGGTTCCAAAGAGGCTCCAAGTTGGCTCCAAGAGGCCCCCAAGATGGCCCCAGGAGGCGTCCAAGCGGCTCCAAGAGTCCTCCGGGAGGATCCAATAAGCCCCCAAGAGGCCCCAACATGCTTTCAAGAAGCCCCCCAAAGCCTCTCAAGAGGACCCCATGCGGCGCCAGGAGGCTTCCCCCCTTCCCCAAGAGGACCCCCAGCGGCCCCAGGAGGCTTCCCCCCTTCCTCTCACGCTCATATCCGTAGCCATCTCGGATCAAGGTATCGCCTGTGTTCTTGGATCATGGCTTTGACGGCGAAAGACCTTCACGAGCAGTATGGCCCTGAGCTGTCGCGGCCTCCCTTGGCCGACTGCGAGAGTGCGTATTATTTGCATCAGGCGCTCCGGGCAAAGGGTATCAATGCTAGTCACCAGGCGTGCAAGACTTGGTGGGCCAAGTATCGGGTTGTGACTGGCACGGTCAGTATTTCTAGCGCCAAGGAGCTGGAGGAGCAGCACGGCTCTGCCATCCGCCACCTGGGCATTGAGTATAATACCGCTTTCAAATTATGCCGGGCGCTCCGACAGTTGGATCCACCACTGTATGTGCCAGATAGGGTCGCAACGGCGTGGCTACTGCAGTATTCATCCAAAGACACGCTTGTCCAAGTGCAGAACGCTGGCCACTTGGAGACCTGGTATGGAGAACGTATTCGCAAAGACATGCCCGAGGGGACCACTGACGGGGCCGTCTTGAAGCAGTGGCTCCTGGGACATTTATCTGTATCTGCTAACGCCAGGGTATGCCAGAAGTGGCTCAGCACGGAGTGGGGCGCCAAGGGGGCATTGAACACTGCCCAAGCTGTGGAGGAATGTATGGGCGAGCGTCTTCGACTCAATCAGTATCGGGAGAGCTTCGCCGACGAGGCCGCTGCGGAGGTCCTCTCGCAGCTTCTCTCGGAGAGCGATCCTCCCGTCGCTGTCAGCGGTATGGTTTTGAGGCAATGGTACGTGCGTATGTCACGAACCTTGTATACATGTGTTTCTCTCCCTCCGTCTGGCTGTGCACGCGCGCGTTGGGCACTGAGAGTTAGGATCATAGCGCCATGAGTCTATGAGCAATGCATGCGTCATCCTTGGGACTGTATAACATCAGTGTAACACATGTACTTCTGT